CCCCCCCCCCTTCAAAGAATCCTGGATCCGCCCCTGTTTAGCTTACTTGTTATACCTGTTATATGTGAAAATTCTTTCTGTTAGGTCACAGTTACTGTAAAAAAAATGCATCAGTACCGAAGCAATTAAAATAATGTAGGCCTAGAGCTTTGTTTGTGAAATGCGTGGAAATTTTTACCGATAATCATAGTCAGTCACAATGTACACGAATCTCACCGGTCTTGTACACTGTCTTAAAAATACGCGGAAGGTATCCTTTACCAAGGCCGCAGATTAAGTATGTGGTTTTTTGTTTACAAGAGACAGAGAGTACAGAGAATCGTGTCATGAATGAGCCAAATAAATATCTGTGAATATCTGGTGAAAAATCAATCTGTGGCCCTGGTAGAGGGTACGCGGAAAGAAAATTTGTCAATGATCAGTCGGAAGCATTCAGACGCACACCCCACTTTGGAGCCCCATCGAAGAGGGTAAACATAGGCGCCTAGCCAATCAGCACGTGAGTAACTGATCTCCCTTCTCCGCGGCCTCTGAAATGAACATCACACAAGGGAGAGGGAGTACTAGCGACAGCGACATTAAGGGGTCGTTTTGTGAAAGGACGGGGATGTAAAGTCTCACTGCGAGCTCACGAACAGCCAGCATCAACATGAACGCCTTCCTTCAAGTCTTGCTGGTGCTTCAGAGTTTGACGTTCAGCGCAATTAGAGGTAAGCACCGGGTATTACTTGTACTACTGCTGCTACTACTACTACTAGCAGACGCATTGGTCCACGGCTTGAAGTCGCTCGCTGGCGCAGCGGGGATGAATGAACATAAACGCCAATGTGTACATACAGGGCTGGAGAGTGAAAGAGCTTTTCTGCTCGGGTGAACCTTTAACTATTGACTGCACGCCCCCGACCATTCAACATTGTAATCGGCTTTATATTCCTTTCTGTTGTTTACTCTAAGCACAAGGGATAGAGAAAAAAGGTGCTCGACTTTCTAACTCTGTTAGTGTTAAGAGTTCGCGTGGTGAGATTTTATTGCAACAGTTAACGGGGCTTGTACGCCGATCAGAGAAAGCAGTTTGTCTTACTGTGGCTGCTTTCTCCCGTACCATCTTTTAGTGAAAAACGCTTTAAATAGGTCTATTTCACTGTGTGGAGTAAGAGGGCATTTCTCGTGTGAATGTTATATAAAATAAAAAAGTGCATTTCATAGTTATCATCCTGTAAATGACTGTGTCGTTTTTAACAGTTGGTATTGTGTGGATCATGTTCAAATTACCATTTTACAGACTTATACTGACTGATGCAGGCAAAACGCGAGTAGGATGAAAACACTGATAGAGATGGTTTGCACATCAAGTCCTGTACAGCGACCCAGCCCGTCTTTAGCAATAGATCTTAACACACACACACACACACACACACACACACACATATGAGTACAGAACCATTTCAAAGTGATGAAATAACTGGTTAAAACCACCAGGTAGTTCCTTTTGTCTGCTGTTGAACACATATCTGTTTGGAAGCCTTATGGTCTTTTCCAATTCAAACAAATGTGATGCATGTGCAAACCATCTACACAGCAAGAAAAGGGAGTGAAATCCCCCTTCCCCTGCCCCCCCCCCCCCTCACCCACTCCCTCCATTAGAAAAATTCCTGGATTTTCCACTTAGGATATTTGTAAATTCAGCACTAAAAGCTCACATGTGTACCAGCAAGCCCAGAGGTGGTGTAATGCCGCCAGAGCTAGAAATAATTTCCCAATAGATGGCCTAATGGACACTGAAAGGCCTTAATACAATTTCGACAGACGTTAATGTGCAGCACTGCCAGACAATAATTGTACTGTCAGTCCCTTCTAGCCGTTAAGGCCGCAAGCTGCTTCTTGGTAGGGGAATTGCGCTGTCTGGTGTAGTGAGGGTACTGTAGCATGAAATTCATCTTTAGTCAAATAACTGGAAAATTTTGCCGCATCAAGTTCAACAGTCAAAATGGTGATAAAGATGCTAAATTTCCCTTTTCTTGAGCCAAATTAAATTATAATTTTGCATTTGACAAACTCTTTTTTAACATGTGAGTGGGAGAATGTGTTCTATTTTAAAGCCACATTAGTCTTATCATGTTTCAACAAACATTATTTAACCAGAGAAGAAGGCATGCCTGGCACAACTTATAGGCCTCTCTACTCCTGTTTTTTACACCAGATAATCTAGGCAACTTCTACTCAAAACTCCCAAATCTTGATTTTTTTCTTAGTGTTTGAATCATCATCAACAATTCTGTCTCTTAATTGTAATCAACCAGGTGCCTGCAAAGCAAATCTCCTTGAAAAAAACCCTGTGCAGATAAGGGCTACAGTCTGATTTAAGACTGCTGACAGAATGAAATTGAAGTAAACATAAAACAATTTTGTTGCTATTTATTTGAATACAAGTTTTTTTTTATTTTATTTTATTTTATTTTTGTATTATTACTCTTAATATTTATCTCTTTAAATTTTCACCAGCTCATTCTGATGTAAAAAAAATATGAATAAAGATCTATAGGCATAATCATGCAGATCATAGAGGAGATTCAAGCCAGTGGATCGAACAGATTTGGTTCACTCATGCACAGTGTGAATTCAGCTGATTACAACATAATCTCATTGACCACATCATATGGCAGGGAAATCAGGCAACAGCAAGGCCATAATCTGGCATCACGAATTTCTATTCAAAAGGCAATGGCTACACAGATTAAATCAATTCTCCCTCTGGAAAAAGATGGATGAAATTATCCTCTGGTGACGAGAGATAATTTGCTTATCTTGTCTGCGCTGCTAGTACAATAAGGTTGTTTTTTTTTCAATTCAGTAGCTGGCCCTCCTTACTTTCTTTCACCAAGCAAGTGACAGGCAGTAAAGTACCATTGCCTTTTGAGTACGTTTCAATGTAGGGTGTTATTAACTTACGCTATCAGGAAAAAAAATGACTTTATCTCGTCTGTTATCTCTTGTTGATAACAATAAGAACTTGATTGCTATTCTGTTGACAAATATATGGCAGAGAAGATTGCTGAACTTGATAGATAGAGACCTGATGTCTTTTTCTATCATGCAAATTCATTCCTGCTGCACCAGATTTAATCTTTATATGATCATGTTATGCTGATGGAGATAATTATTACCATGTCATAAGAAACAGATTATGATTTGTGTATATGTTATGAAAAAAAATTCTCTGAAAACTTTGACATTTTGGAAATAATCCTGTGACTTGAGTCAGCAGATTGACTTTTAGTTCAACATTTTTAACTAAACTGTGTTTAATATAATCATTATTAACTAAACTGTGTTTAATATCATATGATGACATTGTAAAATACTGTAAACTTGTGTAATTGCTCAAATACTGAACAATATATAGCCAATATTTTGTTTGAGTTATGACCAAAAGGTTTTACTTTGTTTTTAGAATGTTCTGCTGTGAAGGTTAAACAGGGCCAGATTATTTTTTCTTCTTTTTACCTTTATAACTATGAATTTTTTAAGACTGTTTCTATCTGTGGTTTGTTGACGTTCTGACTCGATCAAAAATTCATTGCCATTTGCCTTTGTAATGCAACTTTTATGGTATTTAAAGAAGACTGAGTAGGATGGCTTTACAAGATTGCCAGCTCCATGCTTTTTCAGGTATTTTTTTAATTTTTAGAATTGACTTTTTTGTTTCTATATGTCTGTAAGTAATCAAAAATTAAACATATTTCAAGTACTAAAACTTTGCTACTCCATTTTCCTCAGATGTTCTTAAGTAGCTCTATTATTGTAAGCTACTCCTATAACCCTAAAGATCAAAATATACCATGAAATAGACCAAAATTTCCTTTTTTTTTTCGTTTATCTTACCCAAATTATAATTATTTTTAGTTTCTTAGGCACAGTGGTTTTTGAAATTAGTAATACAAGACACGAAATGTGAAAAGATAAGTGGTAGAGTCGTGTAATACAAGAGCCTCAACAGGAAAATGATGTCAATTAAAATGTACCTTGATCGTGATGTGTAAACAAGCTTTGCTCCACTGTAATACTAGATATATGGCGTTGTAAAACGACGCCTTTCAGAGGACAGTAACACAAGACGCAAGATAATTAGAAAAGGTTGCAGTTAAAAGGTATGTTCACCTTGTCAGTAGAAAAGAGCTGGCATTTGATGGCACAGTTAATGCAAGCAAAAAGTTCTAAAGTAATAACCGACCTTAAAGAGATACATTTATTGTTAAGGTGTGTTTTTAAAAGCCAAAATGTTTTCAGTACAATCAAAGCAACAAATAAAATATTTTTACGAGTAAGTTTATTCAAAACAAAGTAGCTTTCTGAACACTTCACTTAATACTCAGAATAAATGTAATATCAAGTTGTTTAGCTTGTAATTAACAATTATACACTGTAACTTAAGTTTTAAACAGGTACAGAATACTTCAAAAGCAGTCAATTTGTCTGCAATAATGAATTCAAAGTCAAAGTTAGAATTGAATATATTATGATTTTTATTGGTTCAAAGATTCAGGGAAGAAGTGATATTTGTTGAGCAAGTCTTTCTCTGGATGGCCTATAGTGGCTATTCTGCCTGAAAAAAAAAAGCATATAGAATACTTCTAAAAAATGGTACAGTAGCAATATTGGCAATGCTGAACATATACATGTGTAAGCACAGGACTGCTGGGCAGGTAGTAATTATACAGAAGTCAAGGTGCTCCAGAGGTCCTATAATCCTCACTGGCTCAGCATGTTGTGTTGACAGAGCCACGAGCCCATGAAGTACACAGACTTTGCAGCTGGGTTTACACTGGACAATGTGGTGCTACTCTATTACATACTAGGACCGGATATTTTTTCAGCTACCTTTTTTTGAGACGTGGGGAAATTTTTGAGGCACTGGCAATTTGAAAGACCTGCACTGCAAGAAATCTGCATGTTCTTCTAATAGTCTGAAAAAGAAAAACTTATTACATTTTATTTCCACTTGCCTAGTATGACTCTACTGACCTAAAACAAAAACAGAGACCAGAAAATGACCAAATTTACCAAAACTGACCGACCAGGCTACAGTTGTGCTGGCCCCTGGCATGGGGCCATTGTTAACACTTGAGACTGCAACAATTTAGTATTTTTGTAGCATTTAGCCTAAATAGAGCAACTTTATCTTCTTGTATTAACAAAAGCTGATACACTAGAATGATGTATCTTTCAATAGAAATGGGACTGTTGTGCTGAGCAAGCCTCATTCAGAGATTAACTCCCATGAGGTGTACCCAGGAGCATGTGCCAATCATTTGTAAGATATAAACACTGTAGTTATGTTTTAAAGTTCTGTTATAAGGAAAACAAAAATGTTTTATTTGTTTTTACTCTTTTCTAAACTTTCGTAAACCAGAACCTGCTTTTAGAGAAAAATTTCATCAGCTGTGTTCTGTTGTTATAAGAATGAAGAAATTTTTCTTCTGTCAACAGCTTAATATATTGAAATAGTTTTTACCTCCAATATTTCTCCTGGATAGAGGCTATTCACCTGGAGAGCCTCATTCCCTGATGTTCTGCTAGACATCAAAATATTGGAGGCAAAAACTATTTCAATATTAAACTGTTGACAGAAGAAAAATAACTTCATTCTTAGAACCTATTTGTACAGAGTGTAAACCAGACTCGGATCCACTTTCAAATTGGCCCCTGTATAAACCCCACTGGGCCAATTAGAGCAATCAGAATTCAGAAAAGAATGTGTTTTCCACAGCAGAAGGTGGAATTAAACCCCTCCCAGCCAACTCCCATATACTTCCCCGTTCTGAGCACACACAATGGGGGCCCCACCACACTATTCATAGAGCTGACCCAGGGAAAAATGACTTCTTTGTATATTTGTTTAAAGGGGCTTTTTTTTCATAGGTTCAGCTTCAGTACTAAGCCTCTCCGTGGCTTTAGTAGCTCCTGCCATCATTCTTTTTAGTTGCTGACTGTCAGTTGTCAGTTAAATGGCCAATACCTGCTCTTTGAAAAGTGCAGGCAGAATTATATAGGTGATGCTTAATTTATGTGGGCCCAGCTGTCACTTTGTCGACTACACCAGCCTTTTTTTATCAAATATTTTAATGCCCCTATATTATGATGATTAGGTATTTTGACTTGGTTAAAAGATAGTGGTGTATTTAAATAAGTGGATACAGTTGTGATTTTTTTCTTTCAAAAATTTTAAAATCAGTTGTAAAAACATGATAAGTGTAACTTAGTGTAATATAGAATCTAAATGGTCTTCTTAATCCCATCCTTTTCCCCTGTTGTTTCACCCTCTCTCTCTCTCTGGATCTCTCTCTCTCTCTCTCTCTCTGGTCTCCCTCTCTCTCGCATGCACACACACACACTTTTATGTTCGTATGCACCTCCCACACACAAGCGCTTTATCAACTCCCCCATCTCTCTCTATTTCTCACACACACATACACACAATGTCACACTAATGCACCAACACACACTACACATACCCTCTCTTTCCATATTATTCATCAGCATCCCTCTCATTGCTCTAAACCTCCCTGCTGCCTCATTGATTTTACTCTCAGGTTGTGTATCAGGTTGTGGTTCAATCTGCATTCAGGAGACTTGCTGGCTAATCCCTCAGAGCTCCATTGTTTCAGAAGTAGTCTAGTCTAGCCTAATGAGCCTCTAGAGTCTCAGACAGCAAACACGGACAAGCCCACTGCACTATCAAATGTACTAGAGATGGGGAGACTTATTAGTAAGCAGACTCTTAACTCCTGTTCAAAGGCAGACATGATTAGTGGACTTGAGAGGTGTTTCCAGTGGTAATGTGACCACTTAACATAGCATTATCTATTGTGCTATTTCACTGTTAACTTCTCTTGGCCATTCCCACTCTTTCTCTCTACTCCCTCCAGTTCTCTAACCCTCTATTTCTCTCTCTCCCTCTTACACACACATACACACACACACATATGCACAAACATGCACATACACATACTCCCAATGCAAACATCATATGCATGCATACAAACACACACACACAGTTACACCAAGCTTGTAATGAAACAGCCCATTGAGGTGGTTGGTATTGAGATAGACAGACCTAGCCTGACTAAAAACACGTCTTAAGTTTCATATCTCCTCTGTAATTTCCACTTAGCTGTCTCTTTAGCAGTACATGGGTTATGCATTGTCACAGTGTTTTGCAAATTGCCAACCCAAGGCTTGATTGTAGTCCATATAGTCATTATACACCACCAGGGCACATAGACATTTGAGGGATATTTGCGTGGTTGATTTTTAGCAACAGATATGAATACATAAAAGTAATAATATATAAAAACAATAAGGTTTCCAAACTGCCTTGAAAGGCATGTTCATATGTATAATATTATGTGCAAAATCATGTTTTCTTATACTTTTTCTACTGATAGAATGCTTTGCAGAAAGGTGTATAGAGACAGAGAAGAAAGATATTTGAGAAATAGCAGTGGCGACTTTCATACACTTTCCAGGCATTATCTAAAACAGTGGAGTGCGCATGCATGGAAATAAACATGCATGTCCTTAGTACCAATGAAAATACTGATTTAGGGGCATGTCCACAGTGGTTGGGGCCCTGGAAGAAGTATGCTTACTGTTTATCCCAAATGTTTACCAACCAAACCAGTGTTATACATGTTTGGGGCATTCTTTTCAGTGTCGAGGACCATGTTATCAGGATAATGACAGGAGAAAGTAGAGTCATGATGACTTTTGAGATATCCCATGTTGTCAAGGGGCTGCCACACCTGTCAAATACCAGGGACATTCTTCATTTACCTGTTGAACTCATTTGAGACTAAGACCGAGTTCCCATGCCTATATCAATCCATGTGGATTGGTGTGACTCCC